GAATATATTAACATTAATACTAACAATTATCCTTAATTGGTGTGAGGAAAAAAAAGAGAAAAATTACCTCAAAAAGTTTAAACATTTTTAAAAGACAACTAGATTTCCTCTGCTTACCATCTTACAACTTGGAGAGTTTAGATTCACACGTTATTTGATTACTTTTAATAAGAGAAATCTTGCTGCAAGCATCTGTCTACAGTGTAGAAAGCTTTACTTCTGCTGGCTGTCTACAGGTCTTCAGAGTTCATGAAGAGAGGTTGGCAATACTGAGGTACAGACTACCCAAAAGCAAATATCTAAAATAGGCCAGATGAATCACCTCCCAGGAAAGTTCCTCCTGTTTGACTATAAAGAGAGTCTACAGCAATTGGCTCAGCTACAGACATCTAAACTCTAGTTATACAGAATAGCTGAAATTAATCCCACTGCTGGTGCCAACAAACTGAAAATGGCTTATAATAAAACCCCTTTTCTTTTCAATGGCTCAGCTATGATGTGAAAGTCTGGACTACCATTGACACACAAAAAATGAACATTAGTGGAGGCCGAGGTCACCCTGCCTGGCTGTAAGAGGAGACCCTGACTACTAGACCCCAAGGAGGGACTCAGGCTTTCAGCAGAGCACCAGAAAGACTCATTACCTCACCAGATCATTACACTGAAACTGTGATCAAATATGGCCTGTCATTTATGGGTACGTTTTTGTTCTATAATGCAACTAATTAATTTGTAGAATTTTTGAAAATAAAACATGGTGAATTCCCTTCTAACTCTCCTGGCTGTCCCCATCAACACAATGTTAACCAGGACCCAGTGAGTATGCTGACACAGCTCCCCTTTCCTTTCCTCTGCTCCATTTCCTTTTCAAATTGAAAACTATTAGGAGTCTTTAGGCAAATAATAGAAATCTATGCAGGTGCCTGTTATAAATCGTTCACTAGTTACTTTTAACCTAATGTCTCCTCAAACATTGCTTCACAGAAGGCAGCAAGGGAAAGAAATGCCTCATGAACTCTGACAATCAGTGAGTCAGGAGTTAAGGTCATAATAACATAGCCCATTTCTTCTTGTTTGTCAAATGACCTGAACACAGTTCCCTGGGTCTTTCATCTGAGATTGGCTCTCCTCAGTAAGAACACAGGTCTTGCCAAGAGCAATCCTGGTCTAGGACCATACCCTGCTGTACAACCCTAAGCAGGGAAGGTGGCATATGGCTGGTGGTGCCAGGTTAGTGCTATTTTAGGATTTTGCCATACCCAACACTATAGCTTGCCTAGGCACAACTTGATGATGTCTAGATCTGCCACATGTCTGAGGTTATATTAATCAATGTTTAGGAGGTAGCTTTACATTTATAAATAGAAATCACTTGAGAAGTTTGAAGTATTCTGCAGGTAAAATAAAATGGGTAGTAAACATTAATAATAAGAGTTAGTAATGACTGTTTTTTATTCAAAACAGACAAATGTACACAAGTGCCTATTAATTCTGAATCACTGCAGCAAGTATCTAGGCTCAAGAGTTGGAAATGCTGCATAAAACGCCAATATGATCAGTCAATGTTAAAATTCCCCTTCATCAACTAGGCTTCACATGTCTTATTCTCAGAGACAAATTCCTGCTATGCTCACTGGAAATAATATCAAGCATTTCACAGGGGATAAACCTCCAACTCCATGTATGTGTAAAACAAGGCATGCAAGAGGTCAATCTGTTAGCATATATGCTCTCAAACACATCGGGCAACTGTCAGGTTGTTGGAAGTATTTCTCTTCATGCTGGGTGCCCTCACAGGCAGCGTTGAATGGTGCTGCGTTGTCACAGATCACTTTCTCCATTTGGGTCCCCAGTGAGGTGTAAATATTTCACAGCTAATGCATAAGTCATGTACACCTGTGTTTCTGAGTGCCGCAGTAGTGAGACATAACTCTTGGGTATTTCTGAGCATGGAGGAACATGGATTATTTTCTGCCATTGCAAATGGAAAACACATGGAGACTTTTCATGTTTAACATTCAGGCCAGTCCATTGCTTCCAGCCCTAGGCAACATCTAAGTGATGTTCTGCAAACATGTACACCTTGCCAGGATTGGCAGACACCCCAGGCTGTGTCTATGTGTGACTACCTACTGGGGCCCCATGTCACTGAAAGCCAATGTATGGAGTTATTTCACCCAAAAATTAACACTCCAATCACACTCACTATTACCATATGAGTGGACACAACATCTAAGTGATGTTCTGCAAACATGTACACCTTGCCAGGACTGGCAGACACCCCAGGCTGTGTCTATGTGTGACTACCTACTGGGGCCCCATGTCACTGAAAGCCAATGTATGGAGTTATTTCACCCAAAAATTAACACTCCAATCACACTCACTATTACCATATGAGTGGACACAACATCTAAGTGATGTTCTGCAAACATGTACACCTTGCCAGGATTGGCAGACACCCCAGGCTGTGTCTATGTGTGACTACCTACTGGGGCCCCATGTCACTGAAAGCCAATGTATGGAGTTATTTCACCCAAAAATTAACACTCCAATCACACTCACTATTACCGTATGAGTGGACATTGTGATAGCAGACTTCATCAGAGGTATTCATATTATTGCTGCATTTATAGGTGTTGGGTGCCTGTGTGTTTAATTTCTTAATAAATCCAGACCTCATGGAAAATCCTGAGTGCATTCATCATCTTACACTGATGCTAGAAAAGAGAGAGTTAAGCTTATTTATGGATAAAATGTTTGAAATAATAAGAGACATCACACCGTGCAGTAGACTGATTGGGAGGGGTGAGTAGAGATCCTGGAGAGCAGGATGGCTTCCCCAGGTGGTTTGCTGTGTACTTGCAGAGCCTGGTGCTTTGACTGTGAGGTGAAGGGGGAGATGGGGAGGCACACTGGTGGTATGCTAACGTAAGAAGAAGGAAGCAACCGATCTCACTGCTCTGAGAAGGAGTATTGATGGAGGTCCTCAGGTGCAGGATGGAAGGTGGAGAGGCTCCTGGGTTTCTGAACGAGGGAATTGCCTCTTGCTGGTGTGCTTCTGCTTTGCTGGGGAAAACAAGGCCATGTGCATTGATAAATAAATAAAAGAGAACAAACAAAAACAAAAAAAAAAAAAAAAAAAAAAAAAAAGCTGATTCTTATCATGAACCTTCCAACCAAGAAAAATACAATATGCTGTTCAGGAAAGTATAGGCTACTTTTTGAGATGCTGAGTGGGACTCAAACACTTCTGTTATAGGCAGTGGCTCATGAAATGTTTGATGTTCGTCCCTGTGAAGGACACAGTTAGCTAGATGGACATGTGTCTGATCTAAGAGACTGGTTATTTTTCTCATGAAAGCAGTGACGCTAAAGCAAAGTGACATCAAAGCAATTCTAATGTACAGAGTATAAATACCTTTCTTTGTAGGAAAGGAGTCATTTGTCCACCTCTACTTTGTACTTAGTAATAAAACTGGAATAAATGCAAACACTTTGTAATTGCTTTTCTCCACTGCATTCCCCCACATGCTCCCATCTTTACCTCTCAGGTTTTCCAGATTGCCAGCTCTTTTAAAAAAAAAAAAAAAATAATACTCCCACGTACTCTGTTAGGACCACATTTCTAGTAACAAATAGAGATTAAGCTTCCTGCACAGGCATGCAGGGGTGTGTACTTTGTCACTAGTACCTATAGCAACTTCTGTCTGAGACTGTCACAACCAGGGGGTCAGGTGTCATTAACTGATTTTTTCACAGTACCTACACCACTGCCACAAATGTCACAATGCTGCAATGCCATAGTACTACTAAACCTTTTGGACTACTGATGTAGCTGTCATGCTGATATAGGCACTAGATAATGTTGGTATCATTTGCTATTATACACATTAAGCAAGGCAACTGTGCTGTAGCATGCCATCCACCACTAGTCCCAGTGCCCTGTGGAGACTATGAAGTATTATTGGTCCTGTTTACAAACTGGAACATCACTGGCAGCACCAACCCTTCATGTTTAAAATATACTTTCCTTCTTCATTCAGCTGCCTTCTCATATCACACCAATGGATCTTATGAGACAACATGGCCCCAAGAATGGTGCTTCCAACTCAGAAAAGCTCTACAACTTGGTTTTTTCTGCCACTTGTAGACCTAATTTGGTTTTAGTTTTTGTTACCCTTCTCTGATTTGATTGGTAATAAATTAAACTAATTTCCCCAAGTCAAGTCCATTTTGCCTGTGACGGTAATTGGTGAGTGATATCTCTCTGTCCTTATCTCAACCCATGAGCCTTTTGTTATATTTTCCCCCCTGTCCAGTTGAGGAGGGGGAGTAGTAGAGAAGCTTTGGTGGGCACCTGGCATCCAGACAGGGTCAACTCACCACACCATCACCATTATCTCGAGAGGAAATGGAGGAATAAAGCTGGTCTCAGTGATGAATGCTCCATCCCTGAGACCACAGTGGAAAAGGCACCGATGTAGCTGCTCTTGGAGAAACACAAAGGAAACTGGACTGAAAGTCAGATCTGTTTGTTTTCTGCAATTTTTAAAGAGCAGCTCCAGAGTTGTTGCTTACATTTTATTTAGTACTTATAGTGTAACAGCAATGAAACCTAACATTACAGGGAGTGTATGTTCCCACCAGAAAATGTCTTCAACAGCTCATAAAAACCTGGTCATTTACCAGCACTGCAGGAGATCTTTATTACTTCCCTGCAGCATGTGCTCTCCTATGATGTAGTTACTGATTTAACAAGCAAACTTCATGGCAAGCTTTTGTCTTGGAATTAGCAACAAGACTGAAATCAAGCTCTCATTCTAGTAACACAGAGATGTGAGATTCCTGAATATTCCAAAAGCCATATCATCACCTTTACAAGCATCCCATTAGGGTTGTCTGGGTTACCACATCAAAGCGTGGGCCGTGAGATCTTTAATAATTATGGCATCATACTCACCCCCAGCAATTTCACAGCCCTTTTGTTTTTCTTCCTACAGGTTTGGACATCAGGCAAGCTCAGGTTATTGTGCTGTCATCGGGTACCAAATGTATAAATGGGGAATACATTAATGACCAAGGGCTTGTGGTCAACGATTGCCATGCAGAAATTGTGGCAAGAAGGGCATTTGTTCACTTCCTCTACTCACAGCTGGAGCTACACTTAAGGTAATTGAATTCTGTTGATACTTGGGGAATGTTATACGGCCTTCAGTGGAACAGATCCATCCTCCAGACAATTGAACTATATGTTTCTTTAGGTTGTTTTTTCTGAGTCTTTGGCTGATGAAGGAACAATACACCGCACAGAAAAAAATGAGAGAGTTAGATAGTCTAGAGTGTTGGGTCATGAGCTTCTTGACTTCAGCTGATTTTCTTTCAGTAGCTATTAGATATGACTCATAAAGTTGGGTTTTATGAAGCCTGATGATTTTGTACAAATCTTTACGTGCAGGCTTATTAGCATCATTCACTGGCCAGCGACTGGAAGGCGGTCATTTTGCTCACTGCAGACATTTTCCTGTCTTCCTTGGTGCTGCTGAAATATCTCTAGGAAGTGATTTATTGATCATTAATGCCTTCATTGACTCACAAGAGAGCCAATGAGTGTTAACAGCACAGTAAACTTTGTGCCAAAGTCCAAGATGCTATCACTCACTCCTTCTTTATGATGTTTTAAAATGTTATAGCATGTAAGGTCATTACAGAAGACTTATTCTTCCTGTCTTCAGTCAAACCCACCTTGTTATCATTTAAATGGTTAATGGGTCATAGACTTGCTGGCAGCTGGTAACAAGTGGGCTACCACAGAGGTCTGTCCTGAAACCTCACTAATCATGTCTATCAACAGTCTGGAAAAGGCTACATAGTGCTTGTTTGTAAGCTTTGCAGAGGACACCAAATTGCAGGGAGGACCAGTCGATATACTTGAGGGCTGAGCTGCCATCCAGACAGGCTGGAGAGCTCAGCCAGCAAGAACTTTGACAGAAAACTCAACAAGGACAGATGGAAAGTCCCACAACAAAGAGGAAAGAGT